AAAAATAAAAAATTTTTTCTAATAAGAAATTAGATGTTCATTCATTACTGATGGAAATGTAAAACAGACTCTCTGTAGAGCAAAACAGCAGTTCCTTAAAAAATTTAAACATAAAATTTCCCACTGTGAACAAGTAACTCTATTCCCATATCCAAAAGACTGAATTTAAAGAAGAACCACGAAAACAATGTTCAGTCAATCACAAAAGGACAAATATTGCATAATCCTATTCATGGGCTATGAGTTTTAGTCATCCCCTAAGTACATCATCATGCATATGGAAAGAACTAGGATAATCAAATGTATACACTAAATTTGATTAATGGTGATTAGGAACTGGAAGAAGGAACCACTGTTTTATGCAATAATTTCAGCTTATGACAGAAATTAGCAGTGAATAAATACTCATGATAGGAATTATAAAATAATCAATGTCATTAAATTATATACATACACTCCTCAAAAAGATAAATAGTATTTTTTTTTTTAAAAAAAGGCCTGAAACCCAAAGTCTCTGTAAATTTTCACTGAATAATTTTTTTTGAAAAAAGAAAGGGTCCATGGGTCCAGCTTGTCCAATGGTCACCTGCTGCTCACCACGACCCTGCATGGACATGACTGGCAAAGCACACAGGCTAAGTGCTGAAGTAACCTGGAAGGCCATGACGATATCTTTTTTTTTTTTTTTTAAATTTTTGTGTGTGTACTGTCAAATCAGATCCGACTGGTACAGGAGGAGATTGCCCCTCCTTCAGCAGAGCATCTAGTGGATGATGGTATCTTTAAGTAGTTCCATTTCAAAGACTTCTTTAGGGCTCTTGGGTTCATGACAAGGGTGGCCCTGCAGGCTGAAAAACTGGACCACCATCCCAAACTGTTTAACGTATAAAACAAGGTCAGATCATGCTGCGCTCCTGAGTGTGCAGGTGTTTCATAGCGGGACATAAACTTGGCCAACATTATCAAACAAGTAGTGGTGTCCATGACACAGGACCTGTCTTTCCTCTAATTCCTCAGGGGAGTAGGGTGGCTGAATTGAGAATCCGTGGAGAAAGGAGGGGAGACCTTGGTCCCAAGACTGTGCTGAACCACCACTGCAAAATCTACCCTGCTGCCTTTTTTGGAGACGAGCCTCTCCTGCTCCGAGTTGTCAGTACCGTAATGAATAAGTCCTTTCATTTCAGCTTCCAAGCCAGTCATAATTTTCTTTCCAAACTGCACCTGTTCTGATTCATTCCTCAAGAAACTAGGATAGATGGGGGCGCCTAGTCTTATCTTACAACCAAACCCTTAAAAGTAAACACGACAAGGACATGTTTTACGCCTCAAATAAAACTATTATGTTGCTCAAAAAGAAAAAGAGCAGCTCCTGGCTGCCAAATTCCCAGTCATGGGTTTCAGATCTCTAAAGACCCCATTTCTCCCTGGTTCCGTACCTTTCTGGATGTTGTAGTCTGAGAGTGTACGGCCATCCTCTAGTTGTTTGCCCGCAAATATCAGACGCTGCTGGTCAGGAGGGATGCCTGTAAAAAAAGGATTCTGCTGCCAACTGTTTCCTTAGTATATTCCCTTTAGGGGTGCTCCAGCACTGGCCCCTATTGTTCAGCAAGGAAAGTGAGGCATAGGGAGACCTGCCACTTGGTGCAAGGCCACATGGATGGTGGTAGGAGGGAAGCATTAGCAAAACTGGAGCTTACCGGGAGCCCATCACCCATTCCACACTGGACAGTGGTCCTGCAAACAGAGCCAAGACCCAATCCCACTCACCCTCCTTGTCTTGGATTTTGGCTTTGACATTCTCGATGGTGTCACTGGGCTCGACCTCAAGAGTGATGGTCTTGCCAGTCAGGGTCTTCACAAAGATCTGCATCTTTGCGTCTGCTGCAAGGAGGGATACAATGGTGAACAGGGCAGAACTAAGAAGCCCTGGACCTGCAGAGACCCAACTGCAGGGCCAGCATCAACATATCTTTGTCCCTGTCCCTATCTGGCCATTATGGGTTAAGTCTTGTCACACACCCTCACCTGCAACCTAAATGTATCCTATGACTAAATAACAATCTTTCTTCATCTCATACCTAAAAGACTGTGGTAAGATTCGTACCTGAGAACAAAGATTATGTATGAAGACCAACAGAGAAGAACGAACCATTTGCGGACTACCAAGTCCACCTGGTATCTTCTGACAGCCATGCCTTCCCCGGAAGAGGTGCTGGCTCCCATTCTGGCCCCAAGCTGCCTGCACTTCTGCTACCCAAAAAGGGAACTTAACACTCACCTGAAGATACACCTTTGCTACCGTCTCTCCCTTACCCACTCAAAACTTCATGCTGAGTCACCCACACACTGGCTTGCTTCTCATTTACAACCAGGACCCACAAGCCCTCACTTTTTGCTCCGGAAGCATAAATAATAAATAATGAGGACCGCTAACCACGTATCAGACACTTGCTTTACAGGTTATCACACCTTTTTTTTTTTTAGTCTTTTATTTTCTTATGGAATGCTAGATTTAATGTTACAGTATGGTTGTCAAAACCATTTTTATAAAACGAAACCGGGAGAGGAATGCTACCATCAGTACCGCGTTATGAAGAAAGCCTCTAAAGTAGGTCGGGAGAACAGCTGAAGGGGAGGAATGGAGGCCGATACTCTCTTTAAGGGCGGCGCTGCGGTTTCCCCTCGCGACGCCATGTAAGCGAAGGAGCGGCGCTCCGCCAGATGCAGAACATCAGGCCTTCTCGGGAGGCCTCTGAGTCAGAAAACGCTCCGTGACGACTTTCTCCCTAACCCAGCAATTTCCCGGGAGGACCTAGCTGCGCCCCGAAGCCACTTGCGTACGTTCGGGCCCGTGGGCTCCGCTCGCCCTCGACGGCCTCTCCCGGCTTAGCGCCGGGGCCCCGCGCACCATGCTCCGCGTCCCACGCGCCGCGCCCCGCCGCCA